TCTGATTCTGATCTGATTCTGAACTACGATGCTCAACAGCTCGCTAAACAGAACTTTGACGTTGGTATCAGTTTGGTTTCCCACCAATCACGGGAGTATTGTGTATAGAAAGGGTTGAGTTATATTTCTCGCGCTACCTAACATCCATGAAGGCAACATGACAGAGGGAGGGCTGTCACTCAGGATGCCAAACTACTCTTTGGTAAGCCCCGCCCCCCCCAAGCAACATCAGGGCTAAAAGTTTGAAAGCGAAAAAAAAAGATCTGAAAGCGAAAAAACGGTGAAATCTGAAAAAACAAGATTTGAAACTGAAAAAATTATTGTTTTGAATCTGAAAACGGAAAATCTGCAACTGAAAAAAATAAGGATTCAAATATCTAAATAAGTATAAAAGGAGTGGAGCTGTCTTTTTATGAAAAGTAATTAAGCTTAAAATTTCAAGCACTTTATCCAAAATTCAAGCACTTTTCAAACCTTGAAAACACCACATGAAATTTAAAGCATTTTCAAGGATTTCCAGCACCCGTACGAACCCTGTAAATTAATTTGCAACCAAGTGCACCAAGCAAGTGCTTCAGTATCAGGAGACATCAAATCATATCTCACCTTAGCTGATATTTGTTTTTGAATGTATACTTCCACCCCACCTCCATATGCATTCATGTCCCTTCTAAATACAGTATACTATACCCATCAATGTCCACTGCAGCGTCATTAAATGTGTCATCTAAGTGAATTTCAGATATTGCCAACAAATGAATACAACATGATGATATTTCCTGTATCTCAGACACTTTATTTCTTAGACTACAAATATTTATATGAGCCAATTTAAACCCTTTACTTCGTAACTTACTTGACATTAAGATAGCAGTTTAAACGTTAACTCATGCTCTCTTCCTGTAACCTAATTTCAACCACGCACACCATCACATACATAACCCAACATTTAAATGCACATAGATTGCTATACATGTGCATAGTCACTCACTCAATTAGACGAGCCACCCGGCAGCTTCACTGCAGTCCCGATCCAGTTTTGTTTGTCTATTGAAGGTTATGATGAGCGTTGCGGGGAACAGTAGTCCATGCCTCACCTCAGCCTCAACCATAGATCTTATTTCAGGCGTCTAACCAAAAGAAGTTTAAAAAAAACATTGACTTCTAGCAGGGGAGTAAGAAGTGGTAAAATGCTAACTAATTTCCGGAATTTGGACTCATTCCTGCACCAGTATATTCAGCGTGATGCTGTACCTAATTGGGAAAATGGCCTTCTTCAGTGCCTACATGCGTAACTCAGGATCTAACACTGTATCGCAAAAAAAGGACAATCAAAACAGCTCAGCTCAAAATGTCTACTTAGTACCCCAAAAAAAGAAAGGATTCTTATTCTTTATTAGGGTCCCCATTAGCACTAGCATGAGCATTGGCTATTCTTCCTGGGGTCCTCACACACACAAAACATACATAAACATACATACAACCAAACTAAAACTAAACTAAACAGCTCATAATTTCATGCAATTCACAATGATATGAAGTGAAAACTAAAATGGTCATCCACTTTTAGCCATCATAAGGCCAAACAAAAGAATACAAATAATTCTACATAATAATACATACAGGGCAGGCACAGTTCAATTTTACTTTATAATACTGAGATAATTTTTTAGCAACCTTTTGAAATGTACTTGAGAATGTTCCTGAATGATGTGGACCGGTAAAGTGATCCAGCTCACCATGGCTCTGTAAATGACTGTTTTCTGTTTCATACTGGATTTAGATTTTGGGTAATACGAACCTTCCTTCTATTGCATGACATGTTTGATAGTTATGTTGAGCATACCTACAATAAACCTCTGTGATAATATATGTGGTGAGTGAGTCACTGTAACATTTCTGACAAAAAGTAACAAAGCATAAGTGGACCTCTGTCTGACACTTAACCAATTCAGTGTCTCCAGCATTTCAGTGACTCTGGTTCTGTAGGAGCACTGCAGTGCACATCGTGCTGCCTTATTTTGTGCTACTTGTAATTTGTTTAAGTCTTTCTCTGCAGCACTAGACCAAATTACAAAACAATAATCAAGCTGCGACAGAACCAATGCATCCAAAACCTGTCTAGTGACATCTAGTGGCAAATACTTGTGACACACCCCTTCCCATTTGACATACATATTGCAATATTATGAGAAACCTCAAGACAAGAATGGGTGAAAGCACAAACAACAGAAGAAAATATAATAAATCACATTTAACAATCATTTCTTAAACCAAAATGTGAAAGTTATATCCCTTGAAATCCTGAATCCAAAAGATTGAAATCTACAAACCACATTAGTTGAGGTTTGTAACTCAAGGTGCAAGGTTCAAGGTTCTTTATTGTCAAACTAACATAGCTACAGAGTAATTATGTCGTTGAAAATCTTAGGTCACAGGCTTCAATAATACAGATAAGCAGACAATATTAAAACAATATTGTAACTGTAACAACATGTAAGTCCACGTGTGTACAGAGAGAGTATTTAGAAGCAACTCATGAGTTTATTTTGAGCACAACGTCACGTCCGTTAATTCCACAACGACACACATGGATTAACATCGATTTAATACATTAATGTAGCCTTTGTTTCTGCTAAAAGAGGTGTCGACCAGCTGGGGCAACAAGAACATCGGCGAAATCGAGTGTGACTATTAAAAAATAAATCATTATTATATTAATATTGACAATAACAACCGACCGTCATGGTAGAGCATTTGCTTGGCATTTCCGGGTATTTCTCCACTGGTTGGGCGATGTTAACAATACCGTGTAACTGTCACGTTTGAAGGGACGAAATCGTGACATCTTCACGTCTCCCAGCATGGTAAATCGTCACATGTTCACGTCTTGCCGTGATACCGGTTGGCTGCAAAGTTTTCCAGGTCGGATGCGTAAGACTAAAAACAAGGCTTTCAAAGGAGGTATAATTTAATTTTGGTTTAGTATTGATAAGAAAAGATGGCTGCATCTCCACCTCCTCGGCCAGTGCCTCGAGCAATATGAGTATTGATATGGCTGGGTGGAGTGGCCTCATTTATGCTGACATATTCTTCATGTCGTAACCAAGTTTCAGTGAGACAGCATATATCAATATTATAATCTGATATTAAATCATTTACCAATATTGCTTTAGATGCTAGAGATCTTATGTTTAAGAGACCACATTTAATCTTCCTGTTTTGTTGCACTGTAGTAGTTGTTACATTTACTTTTATTAGGTTATTATGTATGACATGACCTCTATATTTAAATTGTCCTTGGGCAGACACACACACCGTTAATATTGGGTATTTTATTGGGAATATGGGAGTGCACTTTAGCCCGTTGACAGGCCACGCATGAGTCGACCTAGGATCATGTCCTTTTTAAGCCCTTGCCACACAAACTTCTGCGACACCAACTTCACGGACGGTTTCCCACCGGGGTGGGAAAGGTTGTGAACGCCTCAAAAACGGGTCCGTACCACTTCGCAGATACCAGCGGTCGAGCCTGGCCCGTGGATATGTCACACCACAGCTTCGCACCCGAGTCACCGACCGTCATCTCCTCCAGGTGTAATCCTGTGTCCGAGGCCTTGAGGGTCTGGACCCCGTGGTCAGAGGCCTGGTCCGTGCCCATGCCCATTAAGAATTTGCTTTAACCCCGCTGATAAAAATAGATTATTATAAAAACATCTAAATTGAAATACTAGATACTAAAAAAATATATATATATTTTTAAAAACATACTTTTTTCAAAAAATGAAGCTAGATATTGCTACCGTTGTAGGAATGTAATCCTACACACCAGTACTTGTGCATTATTTACATGAGATTTGTTTTAAAAATCACATAAAATACCTTAACTATGTGATTTAGAGTTAAACATTTAAACTCTAAAGGCAGCTAGCTGATCGACCAGTTGTATTTATGTAACCGGCAGCATTTACTTAATTTTTTAACTAAATAAGTGGGTTTTATTTCATTTTTTTTTTTAAAGAAAAATATTATTTTATTAATCGATCTTTGACAAAACAGCTCCCAACTCATCTATGCTTTCTCTCTGTGCCATTTTATAACCATACAAATGTGTAATGTGCCAAACAAGCGAGCACATCACACAAGGAATAATATTATTTTAATTAGAATGAACAAATCCTGCGGCACCTTGCACCCTCACCTATAATACTTCATATACATGCCCTGTTAAATACTGTAAAAACTAGAAAACACGAGACATTCTCTCAGAATTGTCTTTATTTTTACGTTTGTGTGCAGGCCTGTCTTCTGTCTTACACTTCTGTCTTTTGTCCACCAGGTGGCAGCCTTGCACCTGGGAATGACTGACTGCTGATTGTGCAAAGGTGTTAGAAATGTATAATAATGCAAGTGTTTCTGTCTGCTGTGAAAACATGTTTCCCCCCTGCTGACAGTTTGCACATGTTAACAATTCTGAAAATCTGAAACAACAAAACTCCAAACTGCTCGGCAAGGCAGCTTTCAACACAAGGCACACATTTAAAAACAGTCATTAAAAAGCAAGATGAATTCAATAAGCATATGAATAACACAGGTATAATATTCATGAACACAGTGCAGTGAGAGATATGAACAGGTAAACATTGTTTACTTGTTATCATCCAATAAATAATTATAAATCACATTTCCGCAAAGGCTTATAGGCACGAATCTGATGATTTAGCAGAATCATTTCCCCTGAACAAAACTGCAGAGAGGAGGCTGAGATGATGTTTGAGTTATCAGACAAATGATTGTGTCCATGCAATACGAGCATGATATACAAACAGTCGTCATGCTGTGTGAACCATACAACTGCAACCTGTTGAAAACAACCTGTACTTTCAATTTAAAGAAAGAAAGAGAGCAAATCGTACATAATTAGGTACATTTGAAAATACAACGTTGCCTAAGAGCCTTAAGGCTTACACATCATTCAGTTATCATGAATAAAAACAACCCTACGTGTTTGGATTCAAAGAGTCCGAACAGAACATCCTCTTCAGGTGTTTAGAGATTTCTTTCATGTTGAGTCCGTATATGATAGGATTAAAGAGAGGATGATACAACAGCATTTGTAAAGTCATTATTAAACGTACAGTTTTTGGAAAGTCATCTTCCAGTTTATCCGTGACGACATCATAAATAATCAAACAGGAGAAGTTGATCAGAACCAGCAGGTGGGGGAAACAGGTCTGAGCTGCTTTCCTCCTGACCTCTGCAGAGCTTCGGTAGGCTATTATAAATATCTGAGTGTACGTATAGAGTATGAAAAGCACCGGGAGAAAGGACATGTTAATCAGAACGACCACACCGAACACAGCCATGGCCTTCGACCTCACACAGTGCAGTTTGTTAATCAGGTTGTTGCAAAAGACTCCTTTGGATGTAGAACCACAGAAAGCGGTGTTATCACTGAATGCTACCGGCACTGCTACATGACAGGCAGGAAGAACCCAGGATAAAACCAGACAGACAGTAACAGTTCTTTTTCTCATGATAATTGGATATTGCAGAGGTTTACATATAGACACATATCTGTCATAGGACATGGCTGCCAACAGTAAAAACTCTGAGCTAGATAAAGAGTAATACAGAAAAATCTGAACGTGACAGGCTGAATGAGATATGATCTGTTTCTCTGATAAAAAGTCAATCAGAAGCTTTGGGTAGACGTTAGTGCTGAACAGAACAGAGTTAATCAACAAAGCTGCAATGAACATGTACATGGGCTCATGGAGGTTTCTGTGTAAAGCAATGATGCACACAATAGTGGAATTACTGCAGATGATCAGAACATAAACTGTAAACATGATCACAAAATACAGATATCTATATCTCTGCACTTCCACATGACCATCAAGAGTTATATATGTCACATTATATTCACCAGCCATTAATAGTTTCTAAAAAAGATAATGCAATTGTATAAAACAAGGCAGATTACGTGCATTAAACACATGAATTAAAAACATACAACCTGTCGTGTGCTGTGTGTTGACGCACCAGCACTGTATGATGCAGAAAGTGGTCTGTTGGCTCAGTGGATTCTGTTTATAAGATAATACCCTCAATAGATCTCATTTGAATGCTTCACCAAGATCTACAAACATGTAAACAACTTGAAGATAGAGGTAGGCCTGTAGACAGGAGCACCAATCAGGGTGAGGGCCATGTTTCTGGAGACCTTTACAATGACCTTTACCCTCTGGTGTTTCTGTTCAAATGTAACGGGTCTGTTTTATCTGCTCTTACATTACCACGAAAACGACTAATCATGACCACATTTTATTTAACACCATTTTAAGCATTAAACAATGTGCCAGTCGACTGGTTCACACGAATAACTGCAGTGAATATACAGAGAATAGACACTGAAAATGTATTGTTGACTTGTAACAATAATAATAGATGGGATTTTTATAGCGATTTTCACTAATGCTCAAAGATGCTTTATATAAAATCAGAACAGAAACAATACAAAGAAGAAAAAAAAACGTGTGGGTGTGTATCTGATGGATGAACATAATCTAGGGTCACCCATTCATTTCCTATGGCGGTCATTTTTCGATGAAATTGGGGTTCAGCATTTTATAAAGTCTACTAGGTGGATATCACAAGGCCTTGAGGCAATCAAATGTAAAACACAATATGTATGATTGGTTGGAGAGTAGTAACTCGGTAAGATTTGACCCGGATTGAAGGATTGAAGTTGTGTTATTCTTGGGTCAGTGCTTATATTTTTGTACAAATTCCATGAAAGGGACACTGACCTTTTTCTTTTTGCCGTCTTTTAAAAGATACTTTACAGGTTAACACAGCATCACCACAATATATTGGTTAAAGGAAGGGAGGAGAAAAAGAGGTAGTGAAGGGAAGGTAAGAAATGTCACTGATGATGCATCAGAAACCAAACAGCAGCTGTTAGCTGTTAGCTGTTAGCTGTTAGCTGTTAGCATACAGAGCTCACAGCATCTGTTCAGAAACTGGACAAAAATCAGTGTTTACAGACTGTGGTGAATACAGTCTTTTTTTCTGTCTGTATAGGCCCGGACACACCAAGACGATTTTGGCCGTCGATGGATGTCTGGCTGTCGATTGGCTGTTCAGCTAGCGAATCAGTGCATGAGAAGCAAAACGGAAGTGAAGAAGGAACACACAGACGGCTATTATTTTTCATTTTCCAGTCGTTATAAGTCGTTATGTGAAACAGACTGTGAAACAGCCTGTGATGGACGAGAGTGAAAATGGAACGCACGCTATTTGTTGTTTGTATATATCACGCAGTCTGTCTTCCGGTTGCCTCTTTTGAATGACGAATACACACTACCGCCGCCTGCTGGTAAGGAGAGCTATTGCCACTCACGCATGCACACTGTGTACGTGCTACTTGGCCGTCGGCTGAAGTCTTTGCGGTGTGTTCCACTGCGACTTTTTGTCCAAGACGTAGGAGACGCGAGGCGACCCAACAGTCGGGTCCGTCTGTGTCAGTTCTTTGGTGTCAGTTTGGTGTGTCAGGGGCTTTAGACGGTGTTGTGAGTGTGGACGGAGCAGCTACATGTTAGCTTAGCCTGTCCGATCTCCATTCAGAAAGGATTGAACCAATGACGTTTCTTACCTTCTTCATAACCCTCCCTTCACTACCTCTTTTTCTCCTCCCTTCCTTTAACCAATATATTGTGGTGGTGCTGTGTTAACCTGTAAAGTATCTTTTAAAAGACGGCACAGCAGCAGACGCACATTTATGACGTCTCCTATCCACTATCCCTTAACCCCATGACGTTTCACTCAGAGGTCAAGGAATAGAGGATAGGGTTAGACGATAGGAGCTGATTTTTGGATTATCCGACCGCAACCTTAGTCTTAGCTAACTTTGCCATGCTGATCACGGGACAGCACGAGGCGCTCCCTCACCTTGCATAATAGAGAGCCGAAGGGGAGAGTTAGTCGGGGGGCTGCCGCTGTGGTGTGTGTGCATGATGAGGTGTAGGTGTGGGTGTGTGAGATGGGGAAGGAGTAGCAGGTGCTGCCTCCGACTCGCCACTCAACACAGCACACAACTCACATTTCCCTGACGCACGTGAACGCACCCCCCTATCCCCCGCTAGCTTAGCAAACCTCGGCCAATTCTTCCCCAAGATCAGTAAGGCGAGTACTAACTCCAGCCCTGACTCTATGCTTTTTGCCCCTAAAAGAAATTTCCAGCGCCACCTCCGGGTACTGGAAATGCACACACCTCACCTTCACCCAAGATGCTTCTACCAATGCCCCAGGCCGAACCAAGCGCTGATGGATCATCGTCTGATCGTCGGCCCGCTGGAACGGCAGGTGGTCAGGACTCTTCCTTCACACTCCGCCGGGGAAGCGAGAGGTGATCCTCCGCGAGGACGATGGCTGCCTCCAAGCTGGCCGGGCGGTGGCACTGGACCCAATACGCCGTTGACGATGGCAGGCCAGCGCCAAACTGCTCCATTGCCACCTGCTCCACGACGTCCTCAGCGGAGAGCATCCCCGGCTGAAGCCAGCGTCTAGCCGCATCCAGGAGCTGCTGCGCATAGGAGAAGGGGCGGCCAGCGTCCTCGAAGGGGAGGGCTCTGAACCGGCGGCGATGTCCCTCTGGTGTACTGCCCAGCCGGTCAAGGATGGCCCCCCTCAGCTGACGGTATTATGCCGAGAAGACGCTGGCAGGCTGTGTGCGGCTTACTGTGCTCCCCCGGATAGCAGGGGCAGCAGCCGCACTGCCCACTCCTCCCGCACGCAGCCGCTGAGCCCCCGGAAATGTCCCGATACGCCTCTGGATCGTCCTCGGCTGTCATCTTTTGTAGGGCAATCAGCGGCGGCCGGAACGGGCTGGTCACTGGATCGACCTCCCGGTTGGCCGGACGCTGCAGCAGCTCCCGCAGGAGAGCACCGTCCTCGCGCTGGACCGAGGCGAAAGTACTCATTACTCAAAGTGGACATTTTTGGAAAAATATATATTATATCACTGGAGTATAATTAATGATGCATTCATTTTAATTTTGCAGCTGTTCAACGGTGAGAAACATGAATAACTTTTAATACTAGCAGAAAACTCCATCAATAATAGTTTATTAATAATATGTACCTCCAAAATAAATTAGTAACTAATGTTTTCAAATAAATGTAGTGTGTAAAAAGTACAATATGTGTTGCCAAAATGTAGAGGTATTAAGGAGCATACAATGAAAATACTCAAGTATAGTAAATGTACTTAGTTACTTTACACCACTGGTGAGAGCTGGTAGCTCGCATGAACTTTGTTAAATTGTTGTTTTTGTTTTTTTCTCCGTTGAGTATGGCATGTATCTCAGAGATACACTCGTAACAATGGACGCATGGATATTGAATTATGGACAGGGAACATTGAGACGTTCTCCGGCCACATTATCTTACAACCATACACTGGACCAGCTGTACCAAAGGCAACTGAGGGTTGTAAAGCAAAGCTAACCCATAGAACTCAAAACTGTTCCACCAACCAGCATGCTCTTGTCCACTCATGGAAAAATAACACAATTGGAAGTAAGACTCAGGCTAACCCAGAAAATGTAGATTGGAGATTGTTGTGCCCACATCTTCACAGAGATATGACTCCATTGTGTTCAACTGATCACATTCTGCACTTTTGCTCATTTGGGAAGAGAACTTCAATTTGTTGTGCAACCCTGTGTTGCAGAATGACCCTTAAACCCTTGAATGATTCTTGGTATTACCCTTGATCCTACCCTCGAGTTACAAAACATACAGGATTTATAAACAATTGCCTCTTTTGCCTCAACACATGTCTATAATCTGGTATTTGCAGTCCTTATCAAATGCAGATATCCTTTATTACAAGTTTATTTCAACAAGACTATTGTTGTTATGTTTAGTTTAAAATGTCTCTCCAATTCTCATTTGCTTTCTCAAACGGTGTGTATTCTTGTGAGTAAAAAACTGGGTTTATCCACCCATTGGAAACTAATAATTTCCACTTGAGCAGCAACAGAAGATGAACGTTAAACGACATTTTAAGATATCTTTATTTTCTGGCTCCTCATTTTTATATTATCTATGCACGGACAGCTTTGAGTTTTCCCTGTAGGAGCCCAGTGTCTCTTTTCCTTTACACCACAGATCATTGTGTATCACGTTTTGTGGCCTGACAGGATTCAGATTTAATGAATGCTTCCTTTAGGTATCTTTGTTGTTGGACACTATTTGGAAGAACAACATTAAACTTCCATCAGGAGCCTGAAATGACGATAAATATGATATGATAATTCAGTTTGTTCTTGCTACCCCAATCATCAGTTCATTCGGTGTGCTTTTGTACTCGGGGCTTATTCCTCACTAGACTCTTTTTCATGGACAAGACGTGGGTTTGATAAACTAAAGGAAACTTAAGATCACATAATTAAAGAAACATGATTTTTATTAAGTGAAGCATTTTAAGTATTCATAGCATTGTTCAAACTGAGCATACTGTGTACATGACATGTAGTAAAGAGGTTATACAGGAAATACCTTCCACAGATCAGAACATCACATATGTGCATATTATTACAGAAGAATTGCCTGCACATTCGCATCACTTACATCACAATTACTGCAACATAGTCAGTTCAACTTTGCTCGACAGAACAACTTCTTCAGGTGCTTAAAGATTTCTTTCACTTTCAGTCCATATATAACTGGATTAAAGAGGGGGTAATACAAGAATGCCTGTAAAGTCATTATGGAATGTAAATCAGATCCAAGTTGGCCTATTACAACATCATATGAACACAAACAGGAGAAGCAGAATAAAACTACGAGGTGGGGTAAACAGGTCTGTGCAGCTTTTCTACGGACATTTCTACCGCTTCGATAGGATATGATCAGTATTCTGGTGTATGTGAAAACTATGAAGAGCAAAGGTAAAAGGGCCATGCTGAACAGAACATACAGATCGTATAAAGTTATTATTTTTGAACTAATGCAAAAGAGATTGTAAATTGAATGGTTGCATATAAATGACTTTAAAGTAAAATGACAGAATTTAGTATTAACAATCAGAATAATTGAAACTGCAATCTCACACGCAGGCACAAGCCAAGCCAAACAGAGAATAACACTCACTGTAGTTGTTGTCATTATAGTATGATATTGCAGAGGCTTACATATAGACACATATCTGTCATAGGCCATGGCTGACAACAGGAAGAAATCTGAAGCACACAAGAAGTAATACAAGAAAAATTGAATGAGACAGGCTGAATATGATATGACCGGTTTCTCAGACACAAAGTTACCTAACAACTTTGGGTACATAGCAGTGTTGTAAACAATGGAGTTCAGAAGCAACGCTGCGATAAAAAAGTACATAGGCTCATGGAGGTTCTTATGCTTCCATATAAGGCACATAATGGATGAACTAAAGAACATTGTTAGGATATATACAGCAAACATAATAGAAAAATACAAAAACCTGAATGTGCCCATTTCAACATACCCACTAAGAGCAATGTATGTTACATTTAAGTCATCATCCATGAAGAATCCAAATTTAAACTTTCATACATGAGAGAGGCAGGTTTTATAACAGGCACACATTATTAAAATAGAAAGAGAAGTCTTACCATGAAGTCTTAACAACATATTGCATGTTTGATTCATTAACAGATACCAAACCTTAAACTGCACCTCATGTGTGTTCATGCAGAGATAAGAACTGTTTCCCTCAGACTAAGTATTTGATCACATTTCCTCACCCTCCATGGATCTCATTAACTCTTCAAAGTTAGCATGTGAACAACTTCATCAAACTCTGGAGGCCTGAACCCAAAGGTGCCAAACTTTGTTTACATGGGTGTGAGTTCACTTCACTTCTTTGCATTGAGAACTATTGCAGGGTTGGTGCGAGACCCTAATCATTGACCTCATGTGCACTTGCTAAATAATACACTCTATGTCAAGTTTTTCTTCGCGTTACACTTTACAATTTCATTAAAATGCAGTTTGGATTTTACAAAAATACAATATTGAATTTATCCTCAGTCATTCCAAGAGTCTAGTTACAGTGGTTCAATAAATGCTCAGCTCGGGGTTTTCCAGGGGTGTAGTGCCATTTTTACCGTAGTAAAACCTATAGCGCACCTATGACACATGCATGCACGCGCACGGTTGTCGCATGATCACCAAAACAGAAAGATATGGACATAGGTTACTATGCAAAAGTATGCAAATGTTTTTTCTATCCTATCCATGTGAAAATGTTTTTAGGGGGGGGGGGAGGACTTCATATATTCTAGGGGGGTCCATGGGGGGGCGGAGTTTATATATTGAAGTTAAATGGTTCGATCTGGTGCACTTTGAGGGCAAAATGAAGACACTAGCTCTATGGATACATCTCTCTACACAGATATGAAACAGAACTGTAAAGAGATTTTCTTTTTCATAATGGATATTTTACAAATCACTACCTTTTTAAACTGTATTCTTGGTTTACTGTCCTATAGTATTTCATACCTGTTTTTAATTTATTCTCTTATTGTTGTATAACTATAATGATCATATAAAGGTGTGCCTCGGAAATACTTGTTTACGTAAATGATAACCAAACAGTTTGAGACTGAGATAACTTAGACTAAAGTTAACTATGTAAACACTCAGAGAGTCCTTTACCTCACTGAGCTGATGTTATCTGACAGGAGAGCGCTCTCCACCTTGTTCTAGAAATAGCTCTTTATATCCGTTAGCATAGCTAGCTAACCAGATGCTAACAACAACAATCCTCAGTACCGGTGCGCTCTCTCTCTCTCTCTCTCTCTCTCTCTCTCGCTCGTGCACACACACAGAGCCGAGCTTGAATGAAACGAAGAGACCCATAAGCAGGGGTTAAGTTGGGATTTGATATGTGGGGGGGCTCTGTGTGGAGGTGCGACATTATCTGTATCAAATGCACACATTGATGCCACCAAATGACACAATAAAAAAAGAAAGTACTTCAAATAAATTGGAATTAATTTACATCTCAAATTATTAATATATACACAATATATCATCACCAAATTCTGTGTTATTATGACCGATCATAACTCAGTTTTATGCAGACACATACATTTTGCATGGTTTAAGAAACGGCTCCGTGTTACAAGGCGGGTCGGGGGGTTTGGCGGCACCGCTGCAGACTCTCTACACACACACACACACACACACACACACACACACACACACACACACACACACACACACACACACACACACACACACACACACACACACACACACACACACACACACACACACACACACACAGCCGCAGACTCTCTGCACGGAGCAGCTGCAACTCCTGATCGGAGCTCGTTCTGGAATAGCCTCCCAACTGAGATACGGGATTGTCCCACTCTCAATAGTTTTAAAGGTCAACTAAAAGAATGGTTGAGAAACACCACCTACAGGCCTGGCATATGTACTACAGCGTCTCCAGCGCTTTCGAACGGCAATGGCCGTGGCTGTCTCCTCCTGATTGGTGGAGTTGGCCCAATAGCCGTAGCGCCACCGTCCTGACGTCAGGACAGTGTTCAAATCTGGATCAGTTTTTATCAGATCCGTTGCAGCCCCTTTTTTAGAGATTTGGGTATGGAGGAAAATAGAGAGGGTTGTGTTTTCTGACACTTGGTGAGTTCCCTGGAACACCGGGGACACATATTCATGTAGAAAAGACGTACAAAAGTGCATTTTACATGATAGGTCCCCTTTAAATGAAAATGAAATGGAGCAGACACATGCTCACTAAGCCAAAAATATTTATCTTGTCACAGAGATCTGCTATTTTAAAGTAAAGTCAACACATATCAACCTTAAATATAGTCTATATTAAGAACGAGAAGAGTTTTAACATATAGTTTTTTGTAAACATAGGACAAATGAGCGAGGGTGATGACGTCAGAGCATCGTCCTCCGGCACAATTTAACCCCTGCCCATAAGTACTTGTACTTCACTGTATCATATTATTTTCGATGCCTTCATTGTATGGGCTTTTCAACTAAAGACACAGCCATGCAAAAACTGCGGCATGTGTACAGCTCCTTACCAGCCTAATTTCATCGAGTGTGCCTACCAGTGTGTGGGGATAGAGCAACATGTCTGTGGAGCCTACGTTCACAATAGTGATGTAGGCGGTGCCCCTTTCCACCTGAACCAGAGCTGGAGAGGCAAGCAATCCAGCCGGAAGACCCGAATCCAAGGGCATAACACAGTGCCACTTCAGTACTGCTCTGAGCATGTGGCTGCAACAATCTTCATTATGCCACCAGGGATACGACAAGCCTTCCTTCCACGCACTTTTACGCCTCCTGAGACGCCAGGGGGGGCCTGCACACTGGACTGATGGCATTTTTGCAAAGCCTGAATGAAGGACTTGGGGGCCTCAGATACAGGAGGTAAGGAAAACAAGGCCAAACCATGCTGGCCAAAGAGCTCTTGATAACATCTGCGAATGATTTTCATCCCCAAGATACCAGGGACTGCAGAAGAGACACCACCAGGGGGGTCCTTGACCACCAACACGCCACAGCTTGCCATTACCTTTCCACATAGCTCAACTTCCAGCTCCAAGTAGCCGATGTAAGGGATGGTTAACCCATTGGCTGCCCTGAGCTGCAGCCAGTGACAAGATTGAAGCTTCTCTTGGCCCCAGGGCTCAAAGTGCTGAAGGAAAAAGCTCTCTGTGACGGTAGACACCATGGACCCAGTATCTACCAAGCAAGGAACCATAACTCCCCTCAACGGCGCTGCCCGCTAGACTGTTGAGCAGGTGAGGACGGCCGAGCACGAGGAGCAGCACGTACCCCATCACACTCTCTGGCAAAATGACCGGGTAGCTGGCAACGTCGACAAATTATGGGGCCACTATAGGGGGGGCGACTGCGCAGCTGAGAGTCCTGGAAACGAGAAATGCTTTGAGTAAGTGCTGCTCTTGCTGGAGTTTTAGCATCTCTCTCATCTCACTCAGTTCAGACACCTGTGAGCCAGTCACCACCTGAGGACCACCCTGAACTCCATACTGTAGACCAAGAACTAAAGGGACAGAGTGACTTCGGCCCCTATTAGCACCAGGCAAACCCTCACGTTCCCACCTGATTGCTTCCGCCCTGGCCTCGAGTAAGGTTGCAGTAGGTTGCCGACGTACAAACTGTTTTAACTCACGTCGCAATGCACCGTCAATGACATGCTCTACAAATTGGTCGTGCAGCAAAACCTCTGCATTAGGCATGTTGTCAGGAGCCCGCTGCTTTACAGATGACATAAGACTAAGCAACGCAAGGGAGAATTCCTGCAAAGTCTCCCCTTCTTGCTGTCGTCGGGAGAAGAAGGCCTCTTCAAAACATCAAAACAACCATACAGCTCTTGCAACACAGCAATGATTTTAACAGGGTCTTCCCGCTCTGCACTTGAACGGTATTTTATCTCATCACGGGCCTCTCCTTCGAGATGGTCAAACAGGAAAAATGCCTGATCGGATATAGCCAAACGGCACGCTCTCATACAAGCCTGTATTTCCTCAATCCATTCACTCAAACCCATCCCTGATCTTCCCCTAAACATGGGACATTTTCTGTCTCGGGGCACAAAAACCAGTCTCTCCGCTGAAGGGGCACTAGCATGGGAAGGAGCAGAAGGTGCCGGAGCAGCAAGGAGAGGTGCAGCACTATGACCAAGCACCGCCGCAGCCTGTTCCTGCCACAGCCTCTCATTGTCTGCTTTTAACTGGGCAACTAAATCCCTTAATTATTGTAACTCTCCCTCCATAGCTACACCGTTCCTAATTTAAATGGGGAGATAGGGCGACAAAATGGACAGGAAATACACGATAATAAACACTGTGACTTACCACAGGTCCACAATAAACCAGCTGCTGTTTTGCTTCGGAACACAATATAAAACAATTATTTACAGGCGTAAAACAATTGTTTCTGGCACCCACAAAAATAAAGAATAATTGAAACACACGTCTCTGTTCAAACAAAGAGTAAACCCTGCTCACAGCGCCAGTTTGTGGCAGCGGCCGCAGAAGAAATGTATTGATTTAACAGTAGTTTGGTAAAACAAAAGTAAACAAAATAGTTTAAATTGGTGAAGGAAAGAATAACTAAACAGAGGGAGTTAGCCCAGCAGTCCAGTCACTAAAATCAGAGTAGGCAACGCTAAACCGGCCCAACCACAGTAGCCAAAAGCGAACAATTGAGGTAGCGTTTAGCAGCACAGGATTAGTAGGACAGGCGATGATACTGCCGTAGGCAAAGGCCAAACCGGCCCAGACACGATAGCCAGAAGCAAAAAATGAATTAGCACTTAGCAGCACACAGGATTAGCAGTACAGGTGATGACCGTGCCGTCAGAAATCCGTCTTTTTCGGTGCAGCAAAACAGCAGCGGTTCTTTAAAGCCTTAGCTTGGCCCGATCAGGCTGAGAGGAGAGAGTTTCATGCTCTCTACGTTACGGCTACTTGACAGGCATCGCCAGGAAGACCCTCCGCTACGCCGGTGGC